TCGTACTGATGTTTGTACTGATGTTCGTAATGTCCTTGGTACTGTTGTTCGTACTGATGTTCGTACTGATGTTTGTAATGATGTTCGTTCTGTTGTTCGTAATGATATTCGTACTGTTGTTCGTACTGTTCTTCGTACTGTTGTTTGTACTTTCTGAGACTATAGGAGAGGTTGGGTTTTTGTTGAAGGACTGCAGCATTGATACCTTGATGCTCACCCGGTCGTCAGCAGAGCAGAGCTGCAGCAGTTGTTGCCTGTTTAGAAGCTAATTAAACAACATCAGCAGCTGCAATGTTTATTTTAACCCTAATTAATAATCCTGTAGTTTTTAGATCAGTTATAGACGATCAGGTCAAATCTGACCCTCTGGATCTCCACTTTGGGAAACCCTGCTGTCCAAGGCAGGACGTGGAGGAAGGGCCTGGATCAGAAGGTCCTTCCAGATTCAGGCTGTGGATTAAGACTGTCTTATTTTCATTCACAAGAGAATAAAAATATCTTTAAAAGGTGTGGAAGAATATGTTTGTAGGGAGGATCCGGTTTTCTGGTGAGGATCCTATCAGCGGATCACTAGAAGGCTCTGTGATTCCTTTCTTGACTCTGCTGATTGATCCGAAGTTTGGCTGTCAGGAATTTTAGAAACTAGGTGATAAAAGCATGACGCTGAACAGCCAAAGCATTCTTCTACCTCATAACCTCCCCCCTTGTGACAGTTAGGACTCCAGCAAGCTGTGCCAGCGGCAGACCTGCTGTCCTTTGGACTCCTTCATCTGGGTCCAGTGAGTCAGCTCCTCCTCCCCGGAGCTGTTCAGGCCCAGAGAGATCCATCCAATCATCTCCTTCCGCTTCATGCTGCGCTTGTTGTAGACGGAGAGGATGAGCGTGACGTCGGACAGCTGGAACAGGGCCACCTGGAAGATGAAGGTCTCTTTGTAGGTGGGGTTGGGCTGACCTCTGCAGATGGACGTCTTGCACTTGGACATCTCATGGCCCATGGAGTTGAGTAGGGTCAACTTCACGTAGGTATCTGGCAGGAAGCAGGTATGTAAGATGTTTACAGAGGAACTCAGACATTCACAGCAGATAACTGAGCATTAGGGCATAGTGAATATTCCCCCATCAGAATCAACACAAAGCGCTGCGACCTATTTCCGGCTATACCGTTTGCTCCTGAGATCATGGCACTGCAGCTGAGATCACGACCACATAGGATGAAACATGAGGCACAGCTACGAGAGCTCACGATAACAGAGCAAGAACTCAAAGGGTGCAAGGAGCATTACTTTATTCCTGTTGCTAAGCAACAGCTGCATGTCTAACCTGAATGAGCAAATTATGTTAAATGATAAAACAGATCAGTTTTTAGAGTCACTGACATGTCAGCTTGGAGTCAGAAGAAAAGATGCTTAACTAAACCTAAGGGATTCAGGAACCGCCTCTGATACAGTGGCTTTCCCACATCCTCCATCTCTGCCACGGCACAGACCGCCTTTCACTGCCTGCCGTTTGGGATTCAAGCAGCCAGGAACAGTTTGAAAGATCGTTGAGCATCTTTGGCTATTTTTAACCCATGTATGTAAGTCCTTGTGTCTGACCGTCTCCTCTTATTCATCATGGGAGCAAAAAAACAGAAAACTAAAGAAGTGCAACCTGACCGATATATCTTTATTACTTTGATCAGTTATCATTGGTAAAGTTATTATTATTATTTGTTATTATGTATGATTAGATTATGCCAGGATATCCTCAGTATCTCATCAAGAAATACTCAACATCCAAACTGATTAATCCAGGTGTTTCTGACCTCAGCAGTGGCGGCTGGCCAACAGAGGTCGCTACGACCCCGCCCCACAAACCCAATGACCTTGATTAAGACATAAAATTATTATTTAATTGAAATATTTAAAAACATATTGATATACATTTTTTAGATGTGCTAGATAAATGTTTATTCTTTAAGGATGAGAAAAGCTGTTTTGTTTTTTGTCAGATTGGTGACGTATTTCCTCTCTAGGGCGCAAAAATCTTTGCACATTAACTCTGGTTACTAATTGTCTATGCACAGCAGCTAATCAGCAATACAGTAGGATAGGAGAGCTTTGGGCACAGGTAAGGTATGCCCTGAGGTGACAGGAAGTGACATCACAGTCGTGGTGCGGCTGATTGACAGGTCAAGTCACGGGACGTAAGCAGAGTCACCAGTAGAAGCTGGAGGTGAAACTGTTTGGACCTGATCAGCTGAACATCAACATTAATCATCAAACCAAAGACAGATGGAGACGGTTCAATTGGTCCTTCTCCAGGACCTGGTTTAGCTCCAAGGCTAGGCTAACTACCTGCAGCGAGGCTAACGGCCTGCAGCAAGGCTAACTGCATGCAGCGAGGCTAACTGCCTGCAGCGAGGCTAATGGCCTGCAGCGAGGCTAACGGCCTGCAGCGAGGCTAACGGCCTGCAGCGAGGCTAACGGCATGCAGCGAGGCTAACTGCATGCAGCGAGGCTAACGGCATGCAGCGAGGCTAACTGCCTGCAGCAAGGCTAATTACATGCACCGAGGCTAAATACATACAGCGAGGCTAACTGCATGCAGCGAGGCTAACTGCATGCAGCGAGGCTAACTGCCTGCAGTGAGGCTAACTACATGCAGCGAGGCTAACTGCATGCAGCGAGGCTAATTACATGCAGTGAGGCTAACTGCCTGCAGCGAGGCTAACGGCATGCAGCGAGGCTAACTACATGCAGCGAGGCTAACTGCATGCAGCGAGGCTAACGGCATGCAGCGAGGCTAACGGCCTGCAGCGAGGCTAACGACATGCAGCGAGGCTAACTGCATGCAGCGAGGCTAACTACATGCAGCGAGGCTAACTACATGCAGCAAGGCTAACTGCCTGCAGCAAGGCTAACTTTTATGCAGCAAGGCTAAAGCTGCGTTCACACCAAATGCAGCAGGAGCAGCAAAAACGCGTCTGCTGCTTCATTTCTGATGCTTGTACAAGTTTAGTTCTGACGCGCGGCTGAAGCATCTTTGCTGCTCTGGCTGCACAGTGGAAAAGTGGGTCTGAGACGCGTTGGGCGGAGCTACCCTATCCTTTCTTTACCCTGCAGCTGTATTTGCTTTGATCAGTGAGAATAAAGTAGTTTTAATGTTTTTAAGTTTCTGTCGGAGCTCAGACCCCCACATACCAGCGGGGCGCTGTCCGTAGGAATCCCATTCAACAGTCGCCTCCTTGTGGTTCCGCTCGGTGGCTGGAAGGCATTTTTCATGTCGTTTTGAGATTTGAAAGAGGTTTAATTTTTTTGCTATATGGTTGAAATGATTCCATCAAAGTATTTAAGTGTTTTTTATTGTGTTGAAAATTGATTTAAAAATGTTATTTGTGGGCCAGAAATAATTTTATGTCAAATATAACTGAATGTAACATGGGATGGAGAACGTTTGGGTTAGAGATAATTACTTTTCACCGTCTGTCATGTTTTCAGATTAGCTGCATTGGAAATGCAGAAATCTCGACACGTGCTCGACTTGTTGATGAGTCGAGCTCGTGAATGGGAATCACAATAGCTGTGACAGTGCCCCCCCTCCTCCCCTCCTCTCTGACAGGGAGCTGCTGAGGCTTTCATGCTGTGGAGTGCCAGCTGCTAAACAGTGCTCAGCTTAGAGCCTTCAATCACACATTCAGCTGCTCTCTTTGACATAAAGGAAAAGAAAAAAGGCCTGATTTCCTCTTTGACTGCTGCTGAATGGGCTGTGCAGAGCTGTGCATGTATTAAGTGGTCAGCGGCGCTGATGCGGCTCTTTGCTGCTAAGTGGGACGGGCTGCGGCTGGTGATTGACTCGACTCGTCAGCCTGCTGGAGCTTTGAAAGTGCTCCACGTCTCGCTTCCACTTTGTGAGATGCACAAAGTCAATCAAGACCTGAATGAGTATTTTGCACAAAGGTCTTTTCAGCGTTACCAGATGTGACTATTTCCCAGTTTGAAGGCTATGGAGGAGCCTGTCAGGAATGCACAAAGAATCCGGTTACTGGTCCCTTTAAATCCAAGTTAGATGTTTAGAGATGAGAGGGCAGAGTGCGAGTCACACGGACGACCGTGTGCTGAAGGATGTGATGTCAGTTCACACATATTTTAGTGATTTCACGTCCTCACCAGAAACAACAGAACTACTCATACATGTGATCTTCCCCTTAAAGTCGGGTTTCCATCTCACTCATAATCAAGCAGAATGAAATGATGACCAGTGCCTTGACCTGGTTGAGCTTTCTGATGAGAACATCTCCTAACCAAAACATGCCAGGAACACCGCCCCACCCCAAGCATGCTGCGGCTCAACCCGTCCTGCAGGGTTTCTACACATTTCTCACTTTGAAAGGAATTTAATTTTCAGACCAGATGTTCACATTGTGAAGGGAAACCGAAGCTCCACTTCCCAAATCCACAAATCTGGTCTGTACTGGTAGGATACTGGGTCTAAACTGGTCTGCCTCCTCAGGTGGAGGCTTGCTTTGGTGGAGAAACCAGCCTGTGGTGATGACAGATTTCCCACCCAGCTTCTTCCGGTATAAAACCAGTCCATCTCCAGTTTGAACTGGAGGAGCCTCCAACCAGCAGTTCTTATCTCTGGGATAGAAAAGTGAAAATAGTGATTGTTCTGGTGAGAACCAGCACTGGTCCCAGTTTGAAGGAAAACCTTCATCTCCATACATGTAAAGAGTGTGTAGGAACCCTGCAAACTAAAAATCTGACTTCAGACTGGAACAGTTAAAGAAAAGCACAAACAGCAGGAGGATAAAAAGGGAAAGGTTCTGGATCTCATGCATGGGAGGAAGGAAAAACTCAGCAACAATATTTACTGATCTTCATGGATGAGTTGATGGCAGCCAAACATTTTCATGTTTAATGAACGGAGGCTTTTCTGCTGATGCTCATCTTTTCACCCTTATTTCGCTTTTCGGTTTAATTCAATTACTTTTATTGATTTGTGAAACAAACAGGCTGGATGTTTGCAAACCAAATGAAATAAGAGGAAATAAAGCTTATCAAACATTTCTACTAAGCCTCAAATAGAAAGTTGGACTTTTTGATTCAATCCTGTTTAGTTCAATGGGATCAATTAACAACGCGTCACTTACAGGCTCTTTATAGATCCACAACACTTAGTGCATCCAGTCACTGACTGGAATACCGGTTAACGTAGATGTAGAAGAAAAAGAAAACTAAAGTAGATATAGAAGATGAAGACAGGCTAAAGCTAAGGTGAAACATAAATGATCTAAAGAAGGCCTAAGTAGTGTTTTAGTCCTCGGCTCTGCTAAGTTTCATTGTTTGGTAACAAAGTCACAGGTGTGACAGCGGATTCTACCTTTAGACAGAAAAGACTAAAAGCTACCAAACCACTGGTTGATTTAAGCTTTAAGCTGATCTGCTAATTAAAAGATAAATTCTTTAAAACTGCATCCATGAAGACATAGAAAGGTTCGGGGTTTAACACCAACGGTGGCTCAGTTTGGGACGGCGAGGAGACTCACCTCTGATAATATAAACCTGTCCACCTATCAAGTGTTTCAGACAACAGAACAGCCCATCTGACAACAAGGGTTGGACAGCAGTAAGAGAAACAGCGGACCGAGATGTGAAAAAGGCGGCAGGGAAGAATATCAGGAGCAGACATAACATTACCAACAAAGGAAGGGAAGAAGAAAGGGTCAGAATATCAGAAACATTTCACAAAGTTCACAACAAGTGGATTTCTGTTGGATTTTGCTGCTGAAGCTCCTTAAAGTTGGAAATGAGGCAAATTGATGAAGATGAGGAGCGATAGCAGCAGTAGGGCTGGGCTTCAATGTCTGATCATCCACAGAAATTACTTTGATAAACTTGATTCTCTGAATATTCATTTCGGCTGGAGTTTAATGTGCAGCTAATGCTAAAGCTAAAAGTGGAATTAAAACAAGCCCTTCTGTCGTAAAAATACAAAACACAAATCAGTCGGAAGTTCAGCGAGCCCTAGAGGTCCTCAACAGAAACCAACCTTCGCATTAAAAACAAAGGCAGCAATAGACGTAAGCAAATGGTCTGGCTGTCGATGGCCTTCCAAGTAACTGGATGGTTTTATTCTGTGGGTCAGAGGCTGAAGGGAACCTCAGACAAGTTTGATCAAGTCTTCCTGAACAGGAACACAGTGATAGAACGGGGTTACTGCCCAGCCCTAACTGGCAGCCATCTTTAAGAAGAAGCTGAGGAAATGATCCCAGATCTCCACTGAAGTATTCAGACCTTCAGCAAGTCCTGCTGTTCCCAATCAAACCTTTTAGGGAACTTACTGGGTGGCTTGTTTGCAGCGAGGTTTTTAAAATGGATGCCTTTGATGATCTCCACAGAGAGGCGGCCCGTGGTTGCGTTGTACACCAGGCCAACAAGGATCTCTGGAGCAGAAGTCTGACTGACAGACGGGAAAGATGAGGCGCTTTCACTGCAGGTCAGATCAGAGAGGCTGAGCTGGGATTCACCGCCCTGCAAACATCAAACATTTCTCATTTATCAATGATGGAAATTCAGCAGCCAGCAGAACTAATACTGATCTGCCCTCCCACTCAGAGGTTGCTATGGCGATTCCCGCCTTTGATGAGTGGTCAGGGCAGCTGTTTGACATATATTCAGTTAGCCATACTAGTGAGGATCTTACTTTAAAAGTTTCACATCATAGTTGTTTGTTTTTAAAGTTTCCAGACACAGGGAAACGTTTTGACCTTCCAAGCCTCACCGTCATCCAGACACCTGCCTGCCCATCCCGCTGCACCTAACCCGGCGGGATTAAAGCTGCGTGAGGATTAGCCTTAGTCCCTCAATTTTATACAACAGGAGGAAAGATGAGTGAAGAAAAGAACCATTAATGAGGTGAAGCTTTGATGCAGCTTACCGGCAGTGCACAGCATGGCTCCAGGATGACTGGCACGGAAACTTTGCCCTGCAGGTTGAGCTTGGTCAGGTAGAACACCTTCTCTCCAAACACCTTCTCCTTCTTCATCCGCCGGATGCTGTACAGACGGAATCGGATGGCGTAGTTTCCGATCATCTCCGACTCCACGTGGCTGAAACGAAAGGCCTCTGTGAAGATGGGGCAGGGGCCCCGCTGGATCCCCGTCTTTGCCCTCTGTTTCTTGGTGGGCAGCAGAACCAGGTGGACCTGCCAGGAAATGTTCCCGGTGCGTTTGATGGAGGGCAAGTCGGTCACGGCCATTATGGTGACGGTGAGCTGCTGCTCCTCTGAGTCGTAGTCAAACACAATGTCCAAGGTGCCGTACTTAGCCATGCCGTCGGGTTCGTAGCCCTTTGGGAAGTGAACATTCGACCCACGAGCAGATAAGTCCTGTAGGAAGCAGAGAAGGTCAGAGTCCCACATAAACGTCAATCATCCCTGTCATGACGGGTGTTTACCTCTGGGCTTAGGACAGCTGTGCTGTCGCTGGGGACGTCTTCTTCATAGCCTTTATTGAAGTAACCTTCGCTCTCTTGGTCATCACTGCCGTCACTGAGACACTTTCCAAAGGACAAGTGTGGACTGCCGCTGGTCACGGACACATCGCATTTGGCGTCGCTCAGATCGGACAGAGTGCAGGACATCCTGGGAGAACCGTTCTCATCCTGATAGGGAGGCGGCTGGAGCTCATCCAAGGGCGGCGTCCTCCTCATCCTCTGGATGCAGTTGGCTGCTTAGGGGAGAGAATTGACCAATGATTATTGGTTTATTTGTTTTTTTGGGATTACTTAGTGTTTCACAGTTTGTTTGGGGCGTGGCCGTCAGGCCTGCCCAGGTGGCTAGCAGCTGCTAGCACCATGGTGGTGAGTGCTGGAGGTTTCTCCACGCTGACACGGAAGAACGGCATCAAGGTGGGTGCTGATTCTCCGTGCAGCGTGGAGGAGTTGTGTTTGGCTGTGGGGGAGGTCATTGGACATGGGTCCATCAAGTCGGCAGCTCGCATGAGTAGAGCTGTCGTTTTGTTTGTGGAGAGAGTGGAGCAGGCTCAGCGGCTGGTGGAAGCAGGCATCTCTGTCAATGGGTTGTTTCTGCAAGTTTCCCCATTGACACTGCCTGCAACCAGAGTCACTCTGTCGAACGTCCCTCCGTTCATCAGTGACGAGTTCCTGATCAAAGAACTGCCTCTGCATGGTAAGCTGGTTTCACCTATTAGGAAGATGATGTCAGGGTGTAAATCACCTCTGCTAAAGCATGTTGTCTCCCATAGGAGACAACTGTTCATGATATTGAACAAACGAGATGAGGAACTGAACCTGCGCTTTCATGTTAGACTGGAGGGATTCGACTACATGCTTTCTGAAACCTCCTCTAACATGAAGTGCTTTGGATGTGGACAGGAGGGACATGTCATTAAAGTGTGCCCCGATGGGGCCGGGTGGCGGCCCGCTGCTGCTGAGCAGATGGGGCCCCCTCCTAGTGGGGCTGTCGCCGTGGAGGAACCCGCTGCTGCTGCGGGGGATGCCGCGGTGGTGTTGGAGGGACCTGCGGCGGCTGCGGAGGAGCCCATGGTGGAGGAGCCTGCGGCAGGTATTGTTGAGGCGTCAGTCATGAAAAAATTTTAAAATTTGACAATTATTGTGTGTGTGAGGAAGGATGGGAGCACGGTGCTGTGTGGTGATAGGGTGAATGGTGGTGAGGGTGAGAGCGCAGGTGGGGAGAGAGACGGGGTGCAGGGAGAGCAGGAGGGGCAGGCCAACAAGCAGGCCAGCAAAAAGGCCAGCAAGCAGGCCAGCAAACAGGCCAGCAAACAGGCCAGCCAGCAGGCCAGCAAACAGGCCAGCAAACAGGCCAGCCAGCAGGCCAGCAAACAGGCCAGCCATCAGGCCAGCAAACAGGCCAGCCATCAGGCCAGCAAACAGGCCAGCCATCAGGGCAGCAAACAGGCCAGCAAACAGGCCAGCCATCAGGGCAGCAAACAGGCCAGCAAACAGGCCAGCCAGCAGGCCAGCAAACAGGACAAACAACTCAGTGGATCCACAGGAAATCGAGAGCACATTGAAGCTCTCAAAACTAAACGGCTAGCTCTAGCCAACCTGCTGGAGTCTAAAGTCCAAGGCATATTGGTCAGATCTCAGATCCAGCATATCACAGAGATTGATGCTCCCTCTAGCTTTTTTTTTTTTTTTTTGCCTGGAGAGGAAGCACGGTCAGAGAAAGCTGATCCACTCTTTGCTGTCGGACACGGGGAAACAACTAAGCGAACGGGGTCAGATCAGGGAGAGGGCTGTGGGTTTTTACCGTTCTCTGTTCTAGAGAACAAAGAGAACGAGTTCTGCAGCAAACTACCCCAGGTCTCTGAGGAGACCAACACTGAGCTGGAGTGCCAGGAACTCCACACAGTTGGCGTTGACGGACTCACCGTCGAGTTCTACAAAGCCTATTGGGACCTTCTGGGATAAGACCTGCTAGACATCTGCAAGGAAAGTCTGCTCGCTGGTTCGCTCCCCTTGTCTTGCCGTAGGGCAGTCATCACCTTGCTGCCCAAAAAGGGTAACCTGCAAGACATCAAGAACTGGCACCCTGTGTCCCTCCTCTGTACCGATTACAAGATCCTCTCCAAGGCTCTGGCCGTGAGGCTGGGAAAAGCTATGGAGCAGGTCATCCACCGAGATCAGACCTACTGCGTCCCCGGCAAGTCCATGGTAAATAACGTCTACCTAATTCGGGATGTTTTGGAGGTCTCTGGTTCATTGGGTTTACAAGCCGGCTTCATTTCATTAGATCAAGAAAAGGTGTTTGACCGCATTGAGCACGGCTTCCTCTGGAAAACCATAAGGGGGTTTGGGTTCAGCGAGGGTGTTATGGCCAAGATCCAGATACTGTACAGTGGCATAGAGTGTGCTGAAGATCAACGGTAGCCTGTGTGTTCCTTTTAGGGTGTGTAAAGGCGGTGGATGCGCTGTGACTTTATCTAGATGACCCCGTTTCAACCCTCCTCCAGCCCCTCCTCCACCATCGTAGCTAAAGCTTCATCAGAGCGTCATTCCTCCTGGACTCTTACTGCGTTCCCTGTCTCATCTTAACCGGTCCAGCAGAAGCCGCCATGTTGAGCCTGGTTCTGAAAGAGGTTTCGTCCCAACGGGGCGTTTTTCCTCTCCACTGTCGCTCCATGCTTGCTCATCATGGACTGGTTCTCTTAACCTGTCTTATCCAACTGAACTTCCACCTTCCAGGTCCCTGAGTGAAGCTCTAGTATCAGCTTACGCAGTCCACTGGATCTCCCCATAAAGCTCAGCAGACCGTCTCTCTAACCAGCAGTCTACAGACTGACCAACTTCATCTATCTCCACTCCACCACCAGTTTCAGGCCTGGAAGAGGGAAACAGTTTACAGCCTGCCCTTCTTCTCCTCCGACTGCTCTTGCTTTTCTGCTGGGGTTACATTTGTGCCGAAGCGTGTCGTGTGGAGGACCTACCATCATCTGCAGACGCCTCACTGCTGTATCCATCATAACCTGCAGTCAGAGGGCTGTACTTTTGGCGGCCTTCCCATCTGAACCCTCCAAGGTGTTTGCCGTTGCAGGCCGCCGTGGCTCCAACGCGCAGACCCTGCGAGCGGCTGACCGCTTCCTGATACTGACCCATCAGCTCGTCCTCACTGTCTGAGGACGAGTCCAGCAGGTCGGCATCAGAGGACGCTTTGTCTGAGGAAGAAGGCAGAAACACAGTTGGAATCAGAAGCTTTATTTGGCCCTATCTTGTTATTGATGTGTGTAGAAACCTATGATAGTGAAATATCCCAGCTGGACAGTAAGCAGGACATTGAATGGTATGATGACAGCCAGATACTGTAGATAAATAAATAACGGATGCTGCAGTGTTTTAAAGGAAGGAGCAGATTCCCTCGTCCAGGCTGAATATAGAAGATAACCTGCACTAATTATTTAATACCTTAATATTTAATTTACCTTTAAATGAAGATTTATCTGCTGACACAGTTCAGATTTTGTTAGTAAGTACCCAACACATTCTGACAGCATTAGCTAATAGCATAGAGCTGCAGGATGATGTTCTGCAGCAGGACGATGTTCTTCTGAAGGACGATGTTCTTCTGCAGGACGATGTTCCGCTGCAGGACTATGTTCTTCTGCAGGACTATGTTCTTCTGCAGGACAATGTTCTTTTGCCGGACGATGTTCTTCTGCAGGACGATGTTCCTCTGCAGGACGATTTTCTTCTGCCAGACGATCTTCCTCTGCCAGACGATGTTCTGCAGCAGGACTATGTATTGCAGCAGGATGATGTTCTGCAGCAGATAAGCCTCTCATCCCAAATTCTTCAACATCAACCTTGGTTTTCAAACATAAAATCCAGCTAAACTGGATCATTGCATCATCTGATTGGTTATGGCTTTTCCTTCCTCTGTGTTCATAATAGTGTAATTTAATTTCTCTAGTTTTAGTCGGATCTGTTTGACTTGAAGCTGAATGATTTTTATTAATAAACTCATATTTGAAAGGAAGTTGGTGAATTTATTCCATAATTGTTTGTTCTAACAAACAACCAGTAGGTGGCGTGTTCATAAACTGTATGTGACAATCTGAACACGACCCAGTTATCCAGTCAATCCTAAACGATCAGTTACGTTATGCAACATCACTCACTAAATAACAGGAATGTATTTATGGAAACTGGAACTTCTCTAAAGAACATTTTATTTGCTTAAAATAATAGAAAATGCCTTTATTGTCCTAATATGGGGAAACTGTGACGTCACAGCAACAGAAAAAGATTTCACTAAAAGTGGTCCCACAGATGTGGACCTTAAAAAGTGTATAAAAACACCAGAACAGGAAAAAGAAAAAGAAAAAATCTAATACTTTATAATATAAATACTTTGCATCTGAAGAATAAATAATCAATAGATTACAGTTACAGTTCAATTCGAACCACAAAGCAGAAATCAGTTTTTCCAGGCAAATTTCTAGAAAACAACTAGAAGTCATGAAAAATTTAAAAACCAAAAACTCTGATGTGGTTTTATGTTAGGTTATATCTTATCTGACATCACATGCATTCAGTTATAACAATAAACAAACTGAGAAAAATCTCATCATGTAGTTTTTCTTTTAATCCAGCAGGGGGAAGCAGAGCTTTTGGTTAAACCTGGTGGTGGGCTTCATGCTGTGTAACAGAGGGTGTTCACTTTGCTCTGACCTCAGAGCAGGCTTAGCTCCGCCCCCAAATTAAATCCACTTTTATGCTTTGAACTCTGTAAACTGGGTCTATTATTGCTATTCTACATATATTTAATTCCTTTTTTGTCTGAGATCTGTTTTAGTTTATGCTTTATTGCTCTTTACATTAGACATTATACATCAGACATTATCTGATGGTTAAACTTCATACAGTAGAACATCTGTATGGTTCTTCCAGCATATCTTCAGATCTCAGAGTTTACTACTAAACAAAAAGTTTGAGTCAGGATTTTCTGTCACACTAAAGTCTAAGATCAGCAGGAGGAGATAATTTTGTGAAGATAAGGAGTTAATCAGACTCACCTGGCAGCTCTGAGTTTTTCCTGAAGTCATCGAGGCCCTGAAGGCTCCCTGGGTTCTCCAGAACCAGCGTGTTGTTGAGATACCAGAAGAGCAAGGTCATGAGGATGATGAAGAGTCCGATGGCTGTCAGAAAGCCCAGCACCTCTGGAGAAACTGGGAACAAACCAGAAACACCAGTTTCAGAGAATCAGCTTTCAGTTTCCTCAGCTTCAAGACTGATCGGGTTTACTGACTCCGGCACTGGGTGTCAAACTGGTTCCAGAAAGGGACGTGAGGCTGCAGGTTTTCTTTCCAACCAAGCAATAGCACACCAGACCCAAGTCATCTCATCAAGGGAGTCCAATCTGAACATGATGACTTGATGAAATGACTGGAGTCTGGTGTGCTATTGTTTGGCTGGAAAGAAAACCTGCAGCCACACGGCCCTTTCTGGAACCAGTTTGACACCTGTGGGTTAGAGGCTCACAGAGCACCTGCTGGTTACCATGGGAACAGTTCCATGCGCTCCAGATTCAAGGTCATGCAGGAGTTAACAGAGAACCAATCGATCCTTCAATCAGTCAGAGATCAGAACATCAGAACCTCACGGATCCATCATCCATCCATCCATCCTCCATCCATCATCCATCCATCCATCATCCATCCATCCATCATCCATCCATCCTCCATCCATCATCCATCCATCCATCATCCATCCATCCATCATCCATCCATCCTCCATCCATCATCCTCCATCCATCCATCCATCCTCCATCCATCATCCTCCATCCATCCATCCATCATCCATCCATCCATCATCCATCCATCCATCATCCATCCATCCATCCATCCATCCATCCATCCATCCATCATCCATCCATCCATCATCCATCCATCCATCATCCATCCATCATCCATCCATCATCCATCCATCCATCATCCATCCATCCATCCATCCATCCATCCATCCATCCATCCATCATCTATTGAATGGGAGGCAGCTATATTTGAAACAGACGATTGAAATGTTAAAATGAGTTTTTACATCCAGATGTGAATTGTTTGATAAAGACAGAGTTTAAAGGTTTAGTTCTGGTTCCACAGTGTCTGACCACAGAAGGCGCCTTTCTCTGTTTCCACCCTGCCAGCTTTACCGCCTGAATTATTCACAGCTCAGATGGAGCCACAGGGATTCTGTTCTGCATCTTTTTCCAATCAGCAAAGAAGAACAAATCTCACAAATATGTGAAAAAGCGAGAAAAAAATGTGTTTCCTCTGCAGACCCAGCACTGAGAGGGCTGATGCGTGGTCACATTTTACCAAATGTAGGCCATTAAAATGCTGACAGTAACCTTTAGGTAGAACGCGTGGGTCTGATGGATGAGTCACTAGAATGGCAGACAGCACCTCACTTTGTTATACAAGAGAACAGAAGCAGCCTCTTGATGATGGAGTCCCAGTCAGAGCAGGAAGAGCCTCATTGTTTGCTTTGTGGTTTCCATCATTTTTCCACAGTGGTTTCCACAGTGGTTTCCATCATGTTTCCCATCAGGTGTCCACCTTGTTTCCACCATGTTTTCCATCATGTTTCCATCATGTANTTTTCCACAGTGGTTTCCACAGTGGTTTCCATCATGTTTCCCATCAGGTGTCCACCTTGTTTCCACCATGTTTTCCATCATGTTTCCATCATGTACTCCATCGTGTTGCCATCATGTTTCCATCATATTTCCACAGTGGTTTCCATCATGTTTTCCATCATATTTCCATCGTGTTTCCATCATTGGATCATGCTTCCACATTGGTTTCCACAGTGGTTTCCATCATGTTTCCATCGTGTTTTCCATCGTGTTTCATCATGTTTCCACAGTGGTTTCAATCATGTTTCCATCGTGGTTTCCACAGTGGTTTCCATCATGTTTCCCATTAAGGTTTCCATCTTGTTTCCACCATGTTTTCCATCATGTTTCCATCGTGTTTTCCATCGTGTTTCCATCATGTTTCCATCATATTTCCACAGTGGTTTCCATCACGTTTTCCATTATGGTTTCCACAGTGTTTTCCATTATGTTTCCATCGTGTTTTCCATCGTGTTTCCATCATGTTTCCAACATGTTTCCACAGTGGTTTCCATCGTGTTTCCATCGTGGTTTCCATCATGGTTTCCACAGTGGTTTCCATCATGTTTCCCATCAGGTTTCCACTGTGTTTCCACCCTGTTTTCCATCATGTTTCCATCATGTTTCCAACATGTTTCCACAGTGGTTTCCATCATGTTTCCCATCAGGTTTCCACCTTGTTTCCACCGTGTTTACCATCATGTTTCCATCTTGTTTTCCATCGTGTTTCCATAATTTTTTCTATCATGCTTCCATCGTGGTTTCCACAGTTGTTTCCATCATGGTTTTCACAGTGGTTTGCATCGTTGTTTCCATTGTGTTTCACAACATGTTTCAATTGTGTTTTCCATCATGTTTCCTTCATGGCTCCATCGTTTTTCGATTGTGTTTGCCATCGTGTTTCCATCGTGGTTTCCACAGTGATTTCCATCATGTTTCCCATCAGGTTTCTATCATAGTTTCCACAGTGGTTTCCATTGTGTTTTCCATCATGTTTCCATTGTGTTTTCCATTATGTTTCCATCGTGTTTTCCATCATGTTTCCATCATGATTTCCACAGTGGTTTCCACAGTGGTTTCCATCATGTTTCCCATCAGGTTTCTATCATGGTTTCCTCTGTGGTTTCCATTGTGTTTCCCATCAGGTTTCCACCTTGTTTCCNACAGTGGTTTCCATCATGTTTCCCATCAGGTTTCTATCATGGTTTCCTCTGTGGTTTCCATTGTGTTTCCCATCAGGTTTCCACCTTGTTTCCACTGTATTTTCCATCATGTTTCCATCGTGTTTTCCATTGTGTTTTCCATTGTGTTTCCATCGTGTTTCCACAGTGGTTTCCATCATGTTTCCATCATGGTTTCCACCGTGTTTTCCATCATGTTTCCATTGTGTTTTCCATCGTGTTTCCATCGTGTTTTCCATCAGGTTTCTATCATGGTTTCCACATTTGTTTCCATTGTGTTTTCCATCATGGTTTCCACCAAATGCATATCCTGCAATAAGATCCCAGTTTCTAACCTCCTGAGTTTCTATCCTGGTAAAGTTCCCCTTCTATTTAAAGCTTTTTTAGAAATTGTCCCAGTCTGCACTCCCTGCAATGTAACAAACAGCCCTGAGCCCTGATCTAGGACTGGCACAGAGGAAGACCATTTCACAGACATTCCAACTTTCAGATGATAATGACCAGAAAACAGAAGACCCCAAATTCAACCAGAGGCGACATGACACGTTTAAACAGTTTTTTGGAGGAATAAACTGCTGCAGGTCAGGAGGGATTCACCAGAGTCAGAACTTTTAGAAGGAGATCAGAGCATTGAGTGAACAGGCAGATAAGAGTCAAATGTTTCCAGGGTTGGATTCTGGTTCACTAATCTTCTAACCCTGAGGACAAACCTTGAGAGTTTCTGAGGAAGCCGGTTGGCGTGTGACATCACTGGTGAACCTTACAGGATTCCTGAATCCGTCAAGGTTGGTTTGGAGGACAGTTAAACCTCGGTCCAGGGGAAAGCACAGGGTCAGAGACAGGCAGAATGATGGAGGGGACAACCCAGAATCAGAGCTAGGCAATCCCAGATCCAGAGACAATCCAGAGGAGAAACCAAGAGCGAGGTCAGGGCCCAGAAAACAGGGCAGAGATCAAGGATGTAACTTTGCGATAAAAGTTGGTGGGGGCGCTCTAAGGGTGGGGGCTGATGGACCTACAGCTACTCAACACGAACGCCTCAAATAGGGTTTGTATTTTCCAAAAATGAGCTCAAACGTATATTTATTGAATGCTTTACTGTTGTTGAGAACATAAGAGTACTACAATACATTTGTGGTATTAGTTTTATAGTTTTAGACAGATGCCTGCCTTTAGTGCATTGTTTATAAAGGGCTCAAAAACATTAATGTATAAAAAATGAGGAATAACAGACGATATTGATGCTAACATCAATATATCCTGTATCCCTAGAATGGACACAACTTCCCTTCCATCCATCCATCCATGCATGGCGTCACTTTAAGCTGCATCAGTGATTATCCTCCTTCACAAGCAGCTAAATCTAATTTAGAAATTTGTCCCATATGTCATTGACAGCCAAAGTCTATATATTAAACCTTATATTTAAAAAATCATTTATACACTGGTTTGTATTATTTGTGCTTAAATTCTTGTATGTTTCTTATAGTTTAATTTTAAGTCTGTGTCCTGTGAGTCTGGCTCTCTCTGGGTTGCAGCTATTTCTGAGTCTCGCTGAACTACAGAAGACAAAATTATATGTTGAATTTTATTATAGCATTCCATATGTTTTCTTGTAAACTTGGGGACATATTTTATTGCATGTTGCATATCCCAGTAAATCTGTTTCACCTTTAAATCAGCAGCTGTCCCTAATTGTGTCTCTACTCTGCTTAAAAATATATTTATGAACCTGTCTACCAATATAATGATGCCAGAGAAAATCATTTTCAGGAT